TGTATCTTGCACAGTTGGGAGCACTCCTTGAACCTGGAAGTTTTTATAGCCTCCCTTCTCTAATACCTGTTTTTCTTTGGAATTATCAGAGTAGAGCAGCATAGGAATTTTTTCAAAAACTGTTTTTGTGATAGAGTTACTGAAACATAACTGGGCATAAAGAACTAAAAATTGTGTCTAAATGAATAACTCTCGAAGAAGCATGGAACTGTGGTAATGAGGGTATGTTAATGAAGGGATCTTGTCACTGCCTAATTTCTTAATGGGCTTTGGGAGTACATGTCTTATTTTGCTTTTAGCCAAATTGTGGTTGTCTGAAACTGCATTAATTTTGTCTTGCCAAGTCCTCCCAGTAATTATAACACAACACACTGCAGCAGTTGTCAGACTTCAGTAGGCATAAGGAATACCTGGGCTGACTTGTTAAAAATGTCCCAGGACCCTAGAAATTAGTATTTGGTAGACCTTGGACAGGCCATTTTTAAAACTGGCTTTACAAGAACCACCCCAGATAATTTTGATGTAGATCATTAGTAGACCACAATTGGGAATACCTTGCCATACAGCATCAAGGCCAAACTCTTTGATATGGCTTATAATTTTACCCCTAATTCCTCTCCAGCCCCATTTTTCCATGGGTCTACACCACACATCTTATGCATTAGAAATGTTAAGTCATTAGAGTTCTCAACATGTCTTACTTTGTCACAGCTTTATACCCTTCCACATACTGGTCCCTTCACCTAAAACACCCTTCCCTTTCTTTGCCTTGCACATTCATTCTTCAGGTCTGGACTGAAGCGTCATCCCTTTCTTCTCTTCTCAAACTAAGTTAAACCACAGTCACATAACATACCTCTGTTAAAGCACTTAACGCTGTTTTATCATTGTTGGTTCCCTTGTCTGTCCCCTACTAGATTATATATTCCTTTTTTTTTTTTTTAAGATTTTATTTATTTGTCAGAGAGAGCACAAGCAGGGGGAGCAGCTGGCAGAGGGAGAAGCAGGCTCCCCTCCCCGCTGAGCAAGGAGCCAGATGGGGGGACTTGATCCCAGGACCCTGCCTGAGCCACCCAGGCATCCCTAGATTATATATTCCTTAAAGACAGAGCCTATCATGTCCATCTCTCTTCCCCCAGTTTCTGGCACATAGTAGATGTACAGCAGATATTAAATCTTCTCTTGCGTCTTTGGGATATTGAGCCTGTTAGACCTGGAGAAATGCTATAGTGGCAGCTTTGCACCTCCTCCTGCATTCTGAGTTTTCATGTGGTTTAAGTATACTTATTTTTACAAAAAAAATATTTTTGAATTGTTAAAGGAACAAAAGGAGTTCAGTAATAAATAAGGCACCCTCATTGATTACCATGTATTTTTCTTGCCACTCTCTAGGTGACTTGTGTAAGTTGTAGTCCCTCTGAGGACTTCAATTTCCATTTCTATAATTACATAATATTTACAGTAGCCTTCTATTGGTCTTTCTCTTCTCTAGTAACTCTTACACAGGTATTGTGTCCTCTGACTAAAATAGTATTTCTCTCCCTACCCTTTCACTTCTATGTTTAAGAATATGGTTGCCTTCTGGGGAAAAGAATAGACTTGGCTTTCAAGGTTATCTCTATGACCTTAGTCCTTGACTTTTAAATCTCACTTTTTCCTCTTGTCTTATTTGAGTCAATCTCATGATTATTTTATTTGCAGTTTCTGCTGTTGTCATTTCTAGTCAGGGCGTTATGTTGGGGAAATTCAGATTTAGAATTATGATCTAATTGGAGACAGATATCAATATATAATAGAGGATGAATTTCTGTACCAGATTTGCTGACTTTAACAGTACAGAGCCTATAAGAAAATTTTTGCGGGGCGCCTGGGTGGCTCGGTTGGTTAAGCGACTGCCTTCGGCTCAGGTCATGATCCTGGAGTCCCGGGATCAAGTCCCACATCGGGCTCCCTGCTCAGCAGGGAGTCTGCTTCTCCCTCCGACCCTCTTCCCTCTCGTGCTCTCTATCTCTCATTCTCTCTCTCTCAAATAAATAAATAAAATCTTAAAAAAAAAAATTTTGGGGGGTGCTCTCATTTGGTGTGTGTAGTAATCAGAAATGATGCCATTTCTGGGGGTAGGAGAATAAGGATCAACTTCAGCTTCTAGAGAAGGAAGAATGCTGTTTTAGGGTGTAGATCTGTTTAGAAATGTTGTAGGACCTAAGTTTTTTTGGAAAAGTCTGAATAAGTGTCTTAATTTTTATAAAATAACCCACATGGTGACAAATTCAAGGATGGAAAAAATTGGCAAAGATTACATAAATAGTAAAAGTCAAATAGTTGCTTCAGAATTTCCATTTATTTTATGACTCTCTGTTATTACTCCCTAGCCATATTTTCCTCTACTTTGATCTGCAGTAGTCTAGATAAAATAAAACTATTAATGAAAATATTTAAAGAGATACTTAAAAATCCAAATAATTATTGGGTTTGAATAGGAAAAGCTCAAAAAACCAGCAGTCTTTAATGTGGAGTCTATAGTTCCGTTTAGCACCATAATAATTTAAAAAACCCATTCATTTTGAACTGTTTTGCTTATGCTCTGAAAAACTATATGCAAAATTATATTCCTATTTCATTCTTTCCAGTATAGCTTCCTTATGGGCGATTATAATATGTGCTCAGAAGGGAAGTGCAGGCATAAGTTTCATTATCTCAAAGCAGAATTCCTCCTAGAATATTTTAGCTTCTGGGTTATTCCAGTGTGTTTAGTTTTAAAGATTAGGGAGGAAGAGGAAGTTGACTTTTACAATTCCCAGTTCTGTTGCTTGTTGGCCTTCATTACGAAGACTGGATTTTCCTACTCCTAGGTATTCTCAAACTAGCAACTATCATTTGAGTAATTAAGTTACCTGGTCAGATGAGGGGTTTTTTTTTGTACTAACATTTTGTTTTCCTGGGTAGAACAATGAAGTATGATATCAGGTTTCTATTGAGATAGTTCTGTAAATAGTTCATTAATGAATAAAAATCCTACAACTAGTATTAACACAAACGAATTATAAAAACCAAATCTCTTTAAGAGTCAGATGTATGATTTGGGGAATTGGTGGATATATTTTCCATTGGTCAAGAGAATTCCCTGATTTATACATGCTTTGAGAGTGAAATTAAGAAATGAGAATTAACAGTTTACATTAGAGATATTGATAAACTGTGATCCTTTGTAGTATTAAGCTTAGGAAAATTATTTCCCTTAAGTGATTAAATGGGATTTGATCTGGTTTTCCATATCGTTAGAACTAAGTTCAGTTTGATTTTTTTTTTTTTTTAAGATTTTATTTATTTGTTAGACAGCACAAGCAGGGGGAGTGACAGGCAGAGGAAGAAGCAGGCTCCCCACTGAGCAAGGAGCCCGATGTGGGACTTCATCCCAGGACCCTGGGATCATGACCTGAGCCAAAGGCAGACGCTTAACTGAGCCACCTAAGCGTCCCAGTTCAGATTGATTTTGCAACACTATTTGACCCATTCTGCAAAATTTTATACAGTAAAATAAGGTTTAACATTTAGCTTCATGACATCCCATTAGATAATTAAATTCCTCACATAGCTCATAACCACATTTTAAGGATCACAATTACTTTTGTTGATTGTTGCTTTGGAGGTGTAATATGTACAAATTCTTATTTAAGATTAAGGATATCTTTAATCTCTGAGGAATTGTTTAAAACAATAGGTAGTATTCCAAATATTGCCTAGATCCACTGGAACAAAATTTGTGTTTCAGAAATGTGAGTCAAGAGCATGGAATGTAGAATGATAATATTCATTGTGTCCTTGGGAAAGTTAATAGGTATTATTCCAAGTTGAAGGGAAAGGATTTGTGGTCAAATTACTTTGGAATATGTTGGTTTAAGCAAAGGTAGGCTTTACTAAAGATTTCTCAGAGAGAGACAAACCAAGAAACAGACTCTTAGCTATAGAGAACAAACTGATAGTTACCAGAGGGGAGGTGGGTGAGGGGATGGGTGAAAGAGGTGATGGGGATTAAGGAGTGCACTTGTTATGATGAGCACTGGGTAATGTATGGAATTGTTGGATCACTACATTGTATGGCTGAAACTAATATTATACTGTATGTTAACTATACTGGAATTTTAAAAAAGATTCTCAGAGATTGTGTTTAATATTGAAATATTTTATATTAATCAGATTAATCTTTAAGAACTTCAAGTATCTGCTCATTCACTGATCTTACTTTGTTTTGTGTAATCTTTTCTTCGCTTCACAAAACAATATGCAGGTTCCATGTCAGATATCACATTATTAATGAGAAGAAAGAAAATAATCTCTTCTTTCAAGTATTTATACTTGAAAAGTCACCACATATAGGAAATTTTGTATATGAATTTAAAGTTTTCAATTCTGGTTTTCTAAAGTTTATTTCAGTTCTGGTTCCTTGGATTTTGTCAGAACTGATGAGAAAGTAAGGTAGAAAGAACACTATAAGAGGAGGAACTAATTCAACAGACTAAACTAGATTAAAAATTTTGTCTTTTCTCTGAAGTGCTTTTTGGACTAAGGTTTTGCAAGTTATACTTATTTGTATGTAAATAGATTGTTACAGAGTAAGTGAGATAATAATGTGCTGGATTGAAGTCTTGAAATTATTTGTGGTTTTTGGGGTGTTAACAGGATCTGTGAGTGGAGAAAACTGCACTACTATAATATCCTCTGATTAATGGGAGGGCTCTGCAATTTTAAAATTATTGTTACTTGCGATTCTGGTCAAAATCTGATACAGTCTTTTCTTTTACAATTTCCTAAAAATTTGAGACTTAATTACTGATTCCTACTCATTTGTCAACCCTGTCTCCATTAATGACTTCTAATTTCCTTGCATAATATCTCTAGTTTGGAAGGTTTCACTCCAGAGAGTTACAATATACATGTGCTGCATAATTTTTCAAGTTTAACCTGTTAAACTTCATTCTGCACAAATGTCTATATTTCAGATGGATCAGTTATCAGATGAAGAAATTGACCATGGTGCTGAAGAAGACAGTGATAAGGAAGATCAGGACCTGGACAAAATGTTTGGAGCCTGGCTAGGGGAGCTAGACAAACTCACTCAGGTTAGAAATAGTGCTTGAAAAATTGTTCGAAGATTTTAAATCATCACTGTGTGCTAAAAGTTTACTGTGTAGACATAGGGATATGGATGTAGGTTCCATTTTTAAATACTGCTATAAAGGGAAATTGTCCAAAACGTTAACAGGTAAATGAATGGTAACTCTAGAACACAAAGTATTATCTTATGTGGTTATTTAAAGGAGTCTAAAAACAAAAAAATACCTGTGACAAGAGACTCTGTTCCTCTAGAGGGATTATTTAAAATCTGTTCTGTAAACTGAGACTGCTGGCTAAAAAGGTTTAAAACCCAAAATCTAAAAGTCTAAATTTTAGCAAATCCTATTCCATAACTTAATAAATGTGAATATTTACTACATTTTACAACATAAGTAATATCCTCACATGCAAGTATTTTCTATTACGTAATTCTAGAATACGTGCAAAATTTCATTTCTGGCTTCGTTATAAAACCATGGCAAAGCTTTTTTAATCTTGTTTTATTGGATCTTAGGTTTAAAAAAGATGGAATAGTAACTCTACGCTATTTTACTGCAGATGGCTTTTCTAGTGGTTTGGTACTTATATTCTTCCCAGTATTTTAAATTCCTTGCCATATAAAGTGAAGAGTCACTCACCAAAAATGTTGGCTCATAAACTAATGCTGTGACTGTTTTGTTTTTTTTTTAAATTGTATAAATCTGTCTTTAGAGACAAAACAGATTAACCATTGTGTAATGGTGGCTCACTGCTAACAAGTTGCTTTTTAACACTTCAGATGTTTTCAAAAAATATTTTATGTACTTTATTAGTGGCTAAAACCTCAAGTTTGTTTGTTTTGTTATTTTAGTTTATTACGAAGTGTCATCTGTGCATCCACCCATATCACACATACCATGTTAATGGGATTTTCAACTTTATATTAAATTGAGTTTACATTTTAAGTGGTTGGTGAATCTTTTAAAATCATTGTAAAGTTTTTTTGTTTGTGTGCATTTTCCTGGAAGAAGGTTCAGAGCTTTTACCAAATTCTCATGATAATTGCCCCACACCCCCCCCCAAAAAAGTTTAAAAACCACCCTACTAGGTTACCAATTTCTTGGTGTCAAGGAGTATTTCTTACTATTTCTTTTGTTCCCCCAGCACTGTGGGCACAGCAGATAATTATAACAAGTATGTTTATTTGAACTGGTAAATAGATAGACTCTTAATATGTCCTCAATTATATTCAAGTTATTTTACAGAAAATATTAAACCTACCTATTATTTTTCATTTCCACTGAGAGAAGCATTAGGACTTAAATTGCAGCAGAAGAACAGGATTTGAGGTTGAAGAATTTCCTATTTTGTGAAACTTTGAAATAAGGCAGTGAATGATTGTGGATTCCCTTCATATGATAGCTTTAAAAAGTGGTTGGACACTATCTGAATGCATTCCTTTTATCTTGAGACAAATGAATAAAGAAGGCACCAATGTAATCTAATTCGATGATTGTACAGTCTGTCCAGCATTCTTTTTTATTTGAAATCAATTTGATAATTATAAATAGAAATGAAAGTTTTAAAAGGCTATTCTTAATATTTGTAATTTATTTAAATAGACACTAACTACAGACCTTTTCCCTGAATTTCTTTGTTATAAGCATCTTACATTCTTTATTGTAGAAAGGTTAGAGAGGACAAGTGTCATTTAAAAAGGTAGTGAGATAACTTAGAAGATACTCTGTCCTGAAGTACAGTATAATTCTAGACTTATTGTAGGCAGTATCACAGCTGGGTTACAGTTTGTCCTCATCTTAATAGAGCTTGAGAAGAACAAGGATATTCCATCATTGTCTGAAGTTGTAGCCACTCTCTGTTAAGATCTTGGGTCTTGGGACTTCCATGGACGTTGGCAGAGTAGGAAGATTCTCCCCTCACTTTCTATCTCATGAATACAGCTAGATAATCCCCACATCAATGTAATAACCCAGAAAATGACCTAAAGACTGGGAGAACAAACTTTCCACAGCTAAATGTAGAGAAGAAGCCACATCCAAGAGAGGGGGAAGGACACAGACACGAGGGAGGGGCATCCTGGGCACAGAGAGGGGAGAGAAACAGACCCAGACAAGGGAGCCTGCATGGGGAAGGTGTATCCTCATAACATTTGACTTTGAAAACTAGCAGGGCTGAATTTCCCTTTGTTCTTACAGTCAGTGGGACTTAACACCTGGAACTTTAAAAATCAGTGGGGTTGGAACAGGACACAATCACAGCAAGAGAGCTAAATAAGACAGAGGTAAATAATATGACCGATAGAGAATTTAAAGTAATGGTCATAGAGATACTCACTGGAGATAGAAAAAAATAAAAACCAATCAGAGATGAAGAATCCAATAACTGAAATGTAAGATAATAGTATATGGAATAAATAGTAGACTAGAAGCAGTAGAACAGATCAGTTACCTGGAGGACAGAATAATAGAAATCAGTCAAACTGAATAGAAGAGAGAAAAAGTAATAATACAAAATGAAAATAGACTTCAGGAACTCAGTGACACCATCAAATATAGTAACATTCGCATTTTAGGGATCCCAGAAGAAGAGAAAGGGGGGCAGAAAACTTATTTGAAGAAATAATAGCTGAAAACTCTTAAAATCTGGGGAAAGAAACAAAAATCCAGATCTAGGAGGCACAAAGAGCCCCCAACAAAATCAATCCAAGGAGGTCCACACCAAGATACATAGTAATTAAAATTGCAAAAAGTAGCGATAAAGACAGAATTTGAAAAGCAGCAGGAGAAAACAGTTGCAAGCAAGGGAAACCCCATAAGCTGTCAGCTGATTTTTCAGTGGAAACTTTGTAGGCCAGAAGGGAGTGGCATGATATGTTCAAAGTGCTTAAAGGAAAAAACCCTCAACCAAGAATACTCTATCCAGCAAGGCTGTCATTCAGAATAGAAGGGGAGATGAAGAGTTGCCCAGACAAACAAAAGTTAAAGGACTTCATGACCCTTAAGCAGGCCTATAAGAAATAGTAAAGGGGACTCTCTGAGTAGAAAACCATAAATAGGAGTAAGAAAAGTAGGAAACACAAAAGCATCTGCTCATTTTGAGTCCAGAATTATGCCTTATCTTCAGGGTACTTCATGCCAAGAATGAGACTATGCTGAACCAAAAACAGATCCCTCTGAGGGAAGAGATAACAGAATTCTCTGCATTGATCCTTTGTATTTTGTATCTTACCTTGCCCATATTCATATATTTAGCTAATAGTGAATGAGCTCAGTCACTATACTTGATGTATTTGGAAAGACATTCGCTCCAAACCAGGATGGTCTTAAATGCCTTAAGTAATAAGCATATTATCTAAAAATTGAAAAACTATAACCAAAATAATATGAAAAACAATTATACTTGTCCTTAAAACTAGAAGGACTTTGGTTTTATTAACTATTATATGACAGTTCACCTAATCAAATAACAAGCTTTATTTATCTTTTTTATAATTGAAGCCTAAAAATAATATGACTTATTAAACTTTCTTTAGAGTTTGGATTCTGACAAGCCCATGGAACCAGTAAAAAGGTCTCCTCTTCGTCAGGAAACAAATATGGCCAATTTTTCTTATCGCTTCTCCATATACAACCTGAATGGTAAGATGTAATTGGAAGTAAAATGTAAGATAGTATACTAAATATATATAATGCAGAAGCAACACAGCTACAGTTCCAAGTAGCTCAATATAAAAACTACATGCATAACTTGAGTGAGTTCTTGTATTTCTTGGTTTGTGCATTTTATTACTAATTCAAATGATCACAGAAAAAAACTGAACTGGAACATAACTAAAATAGTTTTCTAGTTATTAATAATTGACAAAGTACATACTCAAGTGGTACCTCATGACAAAACTACTTGCACTGTTGTATTTTCATTGGAATAAAGTCCAGTGAAGTTACTTGTTAATTAGTTTTAAATCAGCCCCTCTGGCCTTTATTTATTGTATTCTCCCTAATGAACTTTCTAATACTTGGAATTGACATCATAATCTGTAATTTTTTAGGCTTTGCATTTTTCTCTCTATGCTCTCAGCTCTTTAAGTATTAACAGCTCTACCATGGCACTGATCATATTAATGATATAGAGCCTGTATAGAGCCTTTGGTGAAAAGTTGCATGGGAGATGTGGTTAAAACCGTAGGGCAGTATATGATTTTTGCATTATTTTTAATCTTTCATCCCATAATTTTATTCTCCGCTGATTACTACAAATCTTAAAAGATGGACTATTTGCTTCTAAAAATTTCTCTGTGAATTTATAACAAAAAACTCTTAGAAATAATGTATTCAATAGGCTTTAGGCCCAATAGGATAAATTTCTTTGCTTCTTACCCCTTCATTCATTGACAGATTTATAATAGAATGTATAAATTCTGATTCATTCTATCCTGGAAACATCATGTATGTATTGTTCATTGCAGAAGCTCTGAATCAGGGAGAAACTGTGGATCTGGATGCCCTAATGGCCGATCTTTGCTCCATAGAGCAGGAGCTCAGCAGTATTGGTGCAGGAAATAGTAAGCGTCAAATCACAGAAACAAAACCCACTCAGAAATTACCTGCCAGCCGACATACATCAAAACATGGCACTTTGAAAGGATTGTCTTCTTCATCTAACAGGATAACTAAACCATCACATGCCAACTACTCCCTGGATGACATCACTGCACAGTTAGAACAGGCTTCCTTGAGCATGGATGAGGCTGCTCAGCAATCTGTACTGGAGGATACTAAGCCCTCAGTAACTAATCAGCACAGAAGAACAGCATCAGCAGGCACAGTGAGCGATGCTGAAGTGCGCTCTATTAGTAACTCCTCTCGTTCCAGCATCACCTCTGCAACCTCCAGCATGGATTCTTTGGATATTGATAAGGTAACACGCCCTCAAGAACTGGATTTGACACATCAGGGGCAGCCAATTACTGAGGTAAGTAGATGGAATTTTTTTCCTGCTATTTTAGTATTTTAAAAAGGAGGAAATGGTATTTTTAAAATGTAGTCTTAGTTAACTTTATTTTTTCTACATTTAAAATTTGTCAGGATCCTTCTGAACTAAGTTTTAAAATCACTACAGAAGGAATATATTACCAGATATAGCAATGTCACAATGATTAAGAGAGTTTCTTCATTTTATTCTTAGGCTATTTGAAGCCCTTGGATTAGTATCAGTTTCACATGATTAAAAAACTTGAAGTGTGGTTTATATTTGATGACATTTTGCAAAGCTATTATAATTGTTATAGTAATTGCTGTTTAATGTATGTTTATTATAAAACAACAACTTAAGAAAAAGATGCCTACCACCACTGTAGTCCTCCAAGATTCTATTTTATTATCAAAGAGTCAGTGTACTGTAGTGGAAAGAGCCCCTGGGCTTGGAATCAAGAAAACTGGGTTCCAAGTGTTCCCTTTGCCACTCACTGCCCATAGGACCTTAAATGAGTTATTCAGCCTCTGTGAACATCAGTTTCTCAGAAGTAAAATGGAGCTAATAGTACATGGTCTAATCCTCATATGGTGGTTCAGCTAATCAAAAGTGATAATATATGTGAACAGATTTTTAAAGGACAGAGTTCTTCTGGATGTGATAGGGTGAGGGCAAGGAAGAGATTTTTGTTAAAATAAGTTTAGCAGAAGCTGAGTTTGATGTAGGTAAATTCTTTATTGAATATTTTTGTCAAGAAGAAGGCAATATTGTTAACAGGGTAGCAACAAGAAAGATCAGTGTGGGTAAAATAAAGCCAGCCTTCTGTTCAGTTTATGTTTACAGTCCTCTCTACCACAGGGTAAAATAATCTATTTATGAATAATCATTACTAAGGTAAAATCTTGTAAAACAAGGTTTAAAGAATTATAGAGAAATTTAAAATTTACATCTATTACTCAACATTATTAATTGTTCCCCGTTGATTTAATTCATTATATTAATTTCCATCAGTCAGTAACTCTTTGTACCTATGAATGTACCCAGTTTGTTCTGGGCACTGTGAAGCATAAAAGAAGCATGAATCATGGTGATTTAGAGATAAATTTGAGTTTAATTGCTTGTAAAGAAAAAGTATATCAATCTAAAAGTAAATTTTCACTTATTTAAAATGAAGCTCATCTGGTATATATTCTGTAGAGAACTCAAAAATTTCTTTCTTATGATACCTAGGGATTATATTTAGCACCAGCTCTATAGTATGTATCATTTATGTCTTTTAGATTTACCTGTTGGGATATGAGCAGTATTTTATTAAGGATGTACTTTCTTGGTTATTCTGTGTTTTATATGTTGATATTCCTTCTTTCTAATCAGATTATTTTGAGTTGGGTCAAGATGCATGAGGTCAGGTTAAACTAATCATTAAGGATCTTTATGTGTCTCATCTGTAAAAATATACTCACACAATAAAAACAAAGTAAAAAGTGAAAAGTCCTCTCCCAGCAAATTCTTTGGATGTGACCTACTGGTATTCATGGGCAAAGATACCAGTGTTCAGTAATATAATGTTTAGTGTAAGACTTCAGTATAAAGTTTGGTAAGTAAACTAGGAATAAAGCAGGAAAGGAGTTAAAGTCTTCTCTATCCGTCCTGTTCTTTTGTCTTGCCTGGATGAGTAGAAAAGTGGTTTAACCAAACCTGAAACTTGGTTTGGTGTACTTTTTTATGGATTCGGTCAGTTCTTCAAATCAAGAAAACCAGTTAAGGCTTACTAGATCCCAAACCCATGTATCAAATTGTCCCTACACTCAAATACAATCTCTAAAAAATATTTTAATTACTTTTGCATGTGTGCAGTTTAAAGAGTCAAATAGTTCTGTGAGACTTGTAGAAAATTTTGCTACACATGTGCACACACATGCCATATCCTCTCAGAGGCCAGAACTTTCTACTCTTTTAGCTGATTCTCAGGGTATTTACCTCTGTGTCATTAAATCTATATTTATATTGCTATTTCTTTATATTTTTCAGTTGTATGTGTATCTACTGACTTCTCACTCTGGAAGATTAGGATATAGACAGCTCCTCTTTAGGCAACTCCTCTCCCTTCTCCTCTCATGCTCCCCTATCCTTCCAGTATATTTTGGTTGGTTTACTATTCAGTTTTTATATTATCATGACTATGTACGTGCAGTTTGGTGCTAAACTATATGCTTTTATTACATTTTCTTTCTGGGCCATTACATTTTGCTTACCTGGAATTAATAATTGTCTTGAGATTTAAAAATAGTTTTTTTGTTTGTTTATCACTGTTTCAACTCCAGACTTTCCCCCAGTTGATTAAGTCTCTTAGTTCAAACAAAATTAGTGTTTATTAATATCATCTTAAAATTCTTTGCTGTCTTTCATAGTCTTTGCTCTAGTATCATTCTTAGGTCTTTTCTCTCAGGTGTGTGAGCTTCTCCAGAGAAGATTCTTTCATTCTCCTACATAGAGGGCGTATGTCAGCTGTGAGTGCTTTAGCAGCCCATTTGGGAAAGAAGGCTTGCAATGGAAGGTGGTCCTCAGTGTTCAGTATATGAACTTCCATCTAATCCTTTTAGGTCAGGATTTCTCAACATTGACTACTAACATTTTGGGCTAGATAATTCTTTGTTGTGGGAGCTATCTTGTGTATTGTAGGAAATTTAGCAGCATCGCTGGCACCTGTCCTATCCACTAGATGCCAGTAGTACACACACCTCCCCCAGTTGTGACAACTGGAAATGTCTCTAGACATTGCTGTATGTTCCCTGTAAGGCAAAAGTCCCCACTCTGAGAATCACTGCTTTAAAATAGAAAGGATTATTAGCAAGTCTGAACCCCTTTTCTTCATGGGAAATGATCTTGGGTGTTTTCCTTCCCCTGGCATTTTTTTTTTTTACTAGAAATTGACTAATAAATACAGAATGTTTCCAGGTAATATTGTTTACTATAAACTGACCCCTGATTAGTGAGTGCATATGGACCAGGAAGACTGTGAGTGAACTTAGAAGCCTATGATCAGACACAGACCTTTGTTTCCTGGTGTGAAGTTTATCAGTTTTGTAAGTGAACATAAATACATCCCTCGAGGGTTCCTGGAACCTACACTCATTGGCTGTTAAAATGTACTGCTGGTTCCTGTGGAGTATGAAGTTTCCCTAAGCCAGGGTGATTTCTGTACTTACCTACATGATTTCTGTCCCTTAGAATGGTGGGTCCAGAAAGGGCTCCTGGTGGCCTATATAGATCCTTTTTAAAGATAACATGTCTCGGGCGCCTGGGTGGCTCAGTTGGTTAAGCGACTGCCTTCGGCTCAGGTCACGATCCTGGAGTCCCGGGATCGAGTCCCGCATCGGGCTCCCTGCTCAGCAGGGAGTCTGCTTCTCCCTCTGACCCTCTTCCCTCTCGTGCTCTCTATCTCTCATTCTCTCTCTCTCAAATAAATAAATAAAAATCTTTAAAAAAAAAAATAAAAAAAATAAAGATAACATGTCTCATGCTAGCGCACTTTGTCTTTCTGTAGAACTAAGTGAACTTTGTGCCAAGCTGTGGTCTGTTGGGTCCTGTGAGTGACTGTCAGTCTGAACCTGAGACCACTGTTTGTGAGTAAAGGAAGGAATCTGTTAATGAACTGCTTAAGTATGCTTTCAACCAGTCAGTCCTTCTGCTTTCATTCCCACCATCACTTCTATTGCTTCTGGCGACTTTTGAGGTTACATGATGTACATTGGGGTGCCCCTCTGCTTTTCTCCAGTGCTAGCTTAACATTCAGCTTTCCTTGGGCCTACTAAGATGGTTACCACTCAGCCATATCTAACATAATCTCCATTTCCTGTCTGCAGTCTCTTGACATTGGAGTGCCCCAAGGTACAATCCTGACTCCTTTTCTATCTGTATCCACTCTTGTGAGCTTAAGCACTGACAACTCCCGCATTTTAATACCCTATTTCATTTATCTAAGACACACCTTTCCCCCACATTTTAATTCCTCTAAAACAATGGTTCTCAACTGGGAGCTATTTTGCCCCCCAGGGGACATTCAGTAGTGTCTGGAGACATTTTTGGTTGTCACTGATAAAAGGGTGCTACTGACATCTAGTGGGTAGAGGCCAAGGGTACTGGTAAAACCCTACAATGCACAGGTTAGCCACCACAGCAAAGAATTATCTGACCCAAATTTGTGCCAAAGTTGAGAGAGTATGTTTTAGAAACAGGGGGCATCTGTCACTGTCAGCGAGGTGGCAGTTCTGTGCGAAGTTTTCTTTTGACAGTTCCTGAAAAAAATCAAGAAAGTACCAGCATTAAGTCATCTTAGATTCAAAGAAATACAGGTATCTTTTGCCACTGTGCCTCTCCCCTGAACTCCGGGCTCACACATCCTATCTCTAATCAGTATCTCTATTTGGATGTCTAATAGGTAGCTCAAATTTAACTGGTCTAAAACCAAAGCCCTGGTCTTTTCTCCCAAACTAACTCCTCCAAAGTCTTCTCCATCTCAGTTGATGGCTCTTCCATCCTTCCAGTGCATCAAACAAAATCCTTGGAGTCTTTGTCTGCTTCTCTTTTTCTTTCCATTCCCATTCCAGTCCAGCAGCAAATTCTGTTGCCTTTACCTTCAGAGTATATCCAGAATTTGATCACTTCTCACCACCTTCACTGACACCAAGCCAACATCATCTTGATGTAAATTTTTGCAACAGTCTCCCACCTGGTTATCCTGTTTACCTTCTCCGTAAGGGTCTACCATCCATACCAAAGCTAGAGTGGTCCTATTAAAAGTTAGTCAGATCTTGCCCCTCCTCTTTTCAAACCCAAAGACTTTGTATCTTACTATAAAAACCAAAATCCCTGCAATGGCCTGCAGGTCCTTACAGGATTTGCTTTCCCATTATCTCTGCTTCTGTTTTCCTTTCTTTCCTCCTCCTCTTAACTTTCCCAGTCATACTGCCTCCTAGTTCTTTGCCAAACATCTGAGC